CAAAAACAGTACCAATCTATTGTCACCCACAAATTTTCTACTAGCTAATTATACTGGTATTATTGTCAGCATTGAAGGTGAGATCTATTTGGAGAATGGAACCGAATCGGGTCGAATAGTAAAATGGACGAAGAATACAAACACTAGTGTCTCTGTAGCATATTTCCCAGGGTACTGTTATGGGTTATTTATCGACCATAACAATAGTCTCTATTGTTCTATGAAAGAGAAAAATGCAGTTGTTAAGATGTCACTCAACGACAAAACGAGTAAAATAGTGAATGTAACAGGAACAGGCACCAGTGGATCAGGCTTGGATCAGTTTTCCAAACCATGGGGGATATTTGTTGACAATAATTTCACCTTATATGTCGCTGAATGTGGAAACAACAGAATCCAACGTTTTCAACTAGGAGAAAAGAATGGAACAACAATAGCTGGGAATGGAACAACAATAGCTGGGAATGGAACTCTAAAAAATCTGGAATTAAAATGTCCTACGGATATCATACTCGATGCAGATGGTAACTTATTCATAGCTGACAACGATAACTCTCGCATCATTCGAGTAATCCACGATGCTTATCATTGTGTAGTTGGTTGCAATAGAAATTCAACTACTGTATCCGAAAAGTTAAACAAATCATATGCTGTTCGTTTCGACAGTCGTGGAAACCTATTTGTTGCTGATGAATACAACCATCGAATACAAAACTTCACTTTGGCAACAAATTCCTGTGGTAATTCTAATTGAAAAGATTATTTTAAGACAATATTATTAGAGTAAATGTCAGTTTCAGACATTGCTACGGTTCAGGTGTGAACTATATGGGTCGTAAATTTGTAGCATTGTAGAGAAAAGCATTGTCTGATTTAATTATTCAAATTCACATTAGGTTTACTGCAGAGACTTTAATTTTCAATATATGATTTGATTAGAATAAAATGCATGTCTTGAAAGAAGTAAGTAGACAGGAAATGATGGAATCTATTACTTTACCGCTTCCATAGAAAGAAAATCAATCTGATTTTCAGATGTTTCATGATTTCTGATTATCGGTATCACTCAAAGTAACTTTATTTCGGGTCACTTTGAATCCCGTAAAATCATCAAAATGGCTAGTAAATAATGTGAAATCTAGACTAACAGTTAGAAATATTGAAAATTATGGAACATCAATAGAAACCAGGGCAATGCTGCTAGTCTCATCTGGTCGAGGATGATTTATATCGATCTGTAATAATGTCTAGGCTAGGATATATTTGATCTCATCTAAATGCTTAGTAAAGACAATCACCAACGATTCGAATATAGATATTGCAAATTTTTTTTTTATATCAGATTCAGCAGCAACAGAAGCACCAACAACACAAGTAACAACAGAAGCACCAATAACACAAGAAACAACAGCAGCAGCAGAATCAACAACAAAAGCAAGCACAATATTAGCAACAACAATACAATCAACCACAGCCGCAGGAACAACAATAAAACCAGCAACAACAACAACAACAACATCAACATCAGCATCAACATCAACGTCTACACAAACAACTAATTCATCACTTAGCCCTAATTCAAGTAAGAGTTCAAAGAAAAGTTACATTTACTCTATAGTAGTTATGCTTCAATTCATCGAAATACTTGCATGTCTTATCTCACTTATATTTGAATGAAGACACATAAAAATACGAAAAAAGCATAGACTAGGATAAGTCTGTTTCTTGAAGGACGTTTTGTCCGGTTACCTCAGACAGATTGAAGCTTCACCTTTTTCTACATGTTTTAGAGATTCATAATAGTGACTTTTACCACATAAGATTAGCTGTACGTCGATTCCTTCAGTGCCTTGAGCATATTGCATTTGTATATTTTTATTGCGCTCATATTGAAAAATATCAACTTGCTACTTTGAAAAACACAAATTCTTCAAAATAAACCTCACATATAGGTCGTTTAGTGTTAAAGTTCACCTAGAATATATGTATATAAATCAAATGTGAAACAAATGATTGTTTTTCAATTAACAGATACTTTAGAGATAATTACACAGCTTCTCGTACGTAGATCGGAAAAAGTAATGCTTCTATTTTATGTATCTGATG